TGTGCGTGTCTGTGAACAGACAGCACACGTCAGCTCTTATTGGCCAAAAACCAGCCAGCCGCTTAGAGCGGTGTGGGCCTGCTGGCAGGCAGGGAACTGACTGAGGGTCCTACAGGTTGCAGGCCAGGACCTGCCTAGGTAAGCACCTCCCAGCTAGAGCCTGTCTCTGGCACCCCCACCTGGACCCCAACTCCCTGCCCCAGGTCACCACCCAAACCCTCTGCACACACACTGCACTCCATCCTACAGCTCTCCCCCAGGCCATAATCCACTCCTGCACCTATATCCCCTCCTGGTTGCTGCACCCCAATTTCCCGCTGCCACAGGTCACAACCCCCTCCTTCACCCAAACTCCCTCTCAGACCCTATACCCTCTCCTGCACTCGAATCCCCTACCCAGAGCTCCTTTCTGCACCCAACCTCTGTCCCAGACCCCACAACTGTTCCACAGAAAAGTGTGGCCCTTGGCCATTTACCAAAATCCCACCGAAAAGTACTGCCCAACCCTGCTCTAGGGGCTAGATTGAAGGTTTTCAGCACAGCCCAGGCCTGCACTGGGAGCAAAACAGAGTTCCACAGGGACACGCAGCACACCAGGGTGTCACTGCTCTCAGAGTGGGGAAATCAGATGCGTCTAAGAGTCCAGACTCCAACCTGCACCTGAATATCTATGCTGCTATTTCCAGCCCTGCAGAGTGAGCCCCATGAACCCAAGTCAGTTGCGCTATGCTTTGAGAGTTGCTGCAGATTTTTTGCTGTCCCCCATATAGAGAAATACATAGTGACTCCTATATTTACTGCAGATATAATTTAAAGGTATTTTGTGAAAGGCAAATTTGATTTGTGAAAATATGGTCTAAATTGCAGCATGAGAATGGTGATTAATTTTACAACTATGCTCTTTCTATGCCCAGGCTTACAGGGGTGTGTGCAGGAATTTAAATTTGACCATTTTCTGCCCCTGACATACTCTTGGGGCCTGTTTCCTGCGTACCTCCCCTTTTGCACAACCTGGTTACGTGAAAGCATAAGGCCCATGGGACTTTCACATAAGGCTCTTGGGGCCTGTTTCCTGCGTACCTCCCCTTTTGCACAACCTGGTTACGCAAAAGCATAAGGCCCATGAGACTTTCACATAAGAGTTTTTGGAAACCCCACAGGGAATTGCCACTTTTGTGGGATTTTCATATCTGCGCAAATGTTGCAGGGTCAGACCTTTGAAGTTTTTGGAAACCCCACAGGGAATTGCCTTTTGTGGGATTTTCATATCTGTGCAAATGTTGCAGGGTCAGATCTTTGAAAATGTACATTTAGATGGCTCCATTAGAGCCAATAATCTTGACCATTCTGTACACAGGCTGCATTTATGCTCTTTGTCATTGCAAATTATTCTTTTTTTCAACTTTTGAAAAGAAGAAGAAGAAAAGGTATAGTGCTTCTCCTCACTGGAAAACTCATAGGAGAAAGAATGGGTCCAGAAAACCCCAGGAAGTTCAGCTCATGGATTTCACAACTATGTTTCTTCTGGGGCAGAGCAGTTTAAGGGCCCACACTCCCAACCCAAAAGATCCTGGGCAGTCACAAGGAAGGGAACTAGGTTTCCCCAAGGCAGAATAGCTCTTTCAGGAACTGTTCTCCTGCTAGCTACTTATTCTCAACCATGCACAAAACCACATCTTTGGGGAATTGCAGTCATGAAATGTAGGTTAATGTTATCGTAGCTATTAGCACCACATTAATGGAGGGGTGATGCCATGCTCAGAAATTACCTGCCACTTGGATGGAACCATGTTCTTCCCCTGGCAATTCTTTCATCCATAAGAGCCTGAGCTATGGAGTCCCAACACTACAAAGTGGAGGAAGAGGAACTTCCATAGATTCAGAAGAAGTAAGGGGGCATACAGCAGAGTCATTGTCCCCACATGAACAACCCACAGATTCAGGCTCTCCTCTCATATTACTGATGAAATGCAACGTCGATGGCATCAAAATTTCAACAGATGCCAGTTTGGAGCTTCATCGAATATTCTTAGCATATGAGGGATAAGTAAGAGGAAAAGCATTTAGTTAGATGAAACAGGAAACAAATGAGTTCAGAGTCACTGTGATGGAGGGTCCCTTTAAATCACAAAACACTTGAAAATTGAGCCAGGACCGTTATCACCTGGATTGCACATAACTGTAATTTGCATGAATATCAGATGGGGGGAAAAATAAGGAACTATCTTGCCTGCTTTATATCACCTGAGCCAACTTAGTTACTGGAATCCAAATGTCTGTTTACTCTGACAAAGACAGATCTTGTGCAACCTTTTCTTTTGTTGATCAAAGCATAGTGGGATTGGAGTGGGGGGGTGGGGGAGGAGAACTGATCTTATAAAAGTTCATGCTGATTGTCTCATGTTTTACTCCAACATTCCAACAAGGTTTATGACTGCAAAATGAAGCTGTTCTCACTAAGCTGCTTGCTGCTTTGCTGTGGTTGCCAAGTCTGGGCAGTGATCAGAGAGCACTACATTGGGATTACAGAGACTATTTGGAACTATGCACCTGGGAATAAAAACATAATATCTGGGCAGCTGTTTTCAGAGGAAGAGTAAGTAACACTCAGTTTGTGCCAATTACATGTAAATGCTCTTGACTTTGCAAGAATGGTTGATGTAGACACTGCTGGTTTAGGTCCTGATCCAAAGCCCAGTGCAGTCAATGAAAAAAATCCCAATTGCTCCGAATGACCTTTGAATCAAACCTTTATTCTGGGTGATTTTCTACAGGGCTTGTAATGGATCTTCTGGTTTTCCTAACGTGTTAAAAATTCATTTGCATCTATGGAAGAAAAGCCTCTCACATAGGCAGAACTCCCACTGGAATATGAGTACGACAGATTAAGGATGGCAGCATCAGGTCCTGAATGTCTAATGATGTTTAATTTTAATCTGTCAATTCATAGATAAGTGGTTGTGTGTTCATATATTTATGGTAGGATTTTTATTTATAAATGGTGACTGTAGGAACTCAGAATTTTACAGCACTGAAATTCTGCTATTTAGCTCTCTCTAGCTCCAGCTCTTTTAAATTAATCCTGTTTGTACTGAGATATGCATGATTGGTTTAATTTCAGATTCTTCACTTCCCAACTCCTGTTTCTTCTGTGGATTTATTTTTAACATTGAGACTGTGCTCTGTCTGCCAGTACAATGGAATCCTAGTCTTAGAAGTATGTGGCATCAGAATGCTGAGACCAGGATCCTTCAAAGTACAAACAGCAGAGGAACTGACTGCAAATCTTGCAGTAAGCTCTGCACAGGCAGGCCCTTGTGTTCCTCTAGAGAGGAGCTTGGTGTAGAAACAAGGTTCTACGCCCAGGGTACGTCTAGACTACAGAGCTTTTCCGGGATATGTCTAGACTAAAAAAAAAAAAAAAAAAATCGGAAAAGCAGACATGTTTTTTTGGCATCCCTGTAAACCTCATTTTATGAGGAAGAAGGAATATTCTGAAAGAGGGGTTTTTCCTGATATTTGGCCCTGTGTAGACGGGCCAAATGTTGGAAAAGCCTCTTTCGGAAGAAAAGTGGGAAAAGATACGTAAATTGCAGTTTGCAATTTGCTTATCTTTTTCTGACTTTTCTTTGTAGTGTAGACACAGCCTCACAGGGCTCTCTGCACGATCAGGGCCTTAGTCTATGCTAGTGAAAAAGATATTAGAGAAAAGCATCTCTGAAGGAGAGGAAATGGAAGTAGGAGTATTGAGAAAAGACATCTGCTGTAAATAGATTTTGCAGACTCTTAAGAAACTGCTATATTTTGCTGGCAACCCTCTGACGTTTGCTGTATGTTTCTTCTGGATCATCTTTAATTCCTATGTTTAATGGCTTCACAGTTTTGCTGGAGGTTCTCTGCTAAGGTCATAAGAGTTTCTACGCTATTCAATTTTAACGTTACATGGCAGTGTAGAAAAACGTGTTTCTCACATGGCACAGACAAGTTGGTGTCCCAATGTTATTCATGAAGAGATGAGTTTGACACCAGTAGCACACAACATGCAATAGTTGTCAAGAGGATTACACACAGATGCGTAAATCAGCCATAATGTGTGAGAATCTGACTCACAGAACTGCATCTGCAACCTAAATTGTCTCTGCCATAAAAGATCATATGAGCTGCAGGTCAGCAACAAACTGCTTCTCTAGTAAAAGCGACAAGGAGTCCTGTAGCACCTTATAGACTAACAGATGTATTGGAGCATAAGCTTTCGTGGGCAAAGACCCACTTCATCAGATGCATGTCAAAGTGGGTCTTTGCCCACAAAAGCTTATGCTCCAATGCATCTGTTAGTCTATAAGGTGCCACAGGACTCCTTGTCACTTTTGCGACAAGCAATTTCAATTGTAAGCTCTATGAGGGAGTGACCATCTTTTTGTTCAGAGCCTAACACAACGGGCAGTACTGCCATACAAATAGTAATTTTAATAATGCAAATGTTTTAGATAGTCAAGCCTGTCTTAATGAGGGAAAGGATATTGTCAGGGCATAGAACTTTTCGCCTATTTCTGCATGGTATGGAAACTATCACTACTGATCCTGAGACTGTGTCAAAATTGTCTTTTTTACATTTTTCTGTAAACTTGAAACCTCACATTAACTTTATGGAGAACTTTATGAACCTTTCAAATGCAACTGGGCACATATATGGTTTTAGCCTTGAAACTGAGTGCAACTCATCAACTTTGGACAAGTTTTGATTTGGGTTTTTTATTTGAACCAAAATAAATGTCAGGGTATGGAAACATTAGCTAAAGAAAAGGTTAGCACAAGTAGCACAATGCAGCATCAGCACTGGCGAGAAGCCCAAGTCCTCACTTGACTGACCCTGAACTGAGCCATACTGACCCACAAGCATATGGAATGATTTAATTCTTCTAAAATGATAAAGAAAGATAAATCTCAATTTGAAGAGTGATATCTACAGATTCACTGTCAGTCACCCTCTGAGATACTTCACCCTTTCTCTTGTCAGAACAATAGTACTATATGCTGTTCCCTCTATCCCAAGAGAACTTAAGAGTGGAGATGTTTGTACAAATGGAGTTAAAAGAGGGCCAAAGAGGATGTGGAAATGAAGGGAAGGTGGATAATGGTGAGGTAGCATTTGGAAAGGTAGAGAAGGAAACAACAACACTAAATAGTACATAAATAATGTGTGGGTGTTGAGATGGGGATATCTGAAAATAAGTGTTTCGAAGAAAGAAAAATTTTGGAGGAAAAATTAAAAGTGAAACATTTTAAACACGTGATGAATGATGACTGAAAAAAATATGGACAATTAAAAAGAAATTCCTCAAAATGAAAATGAGGGAAACTTTCTTTTTTGGTTTCTGGGGGAAGGGTAAGAATTGTTTTCACTCTAAATCAAGAGTTAAAAATGATTGTTCAGTGATAGTTGGGTTGTTTCTAGTTTCAAAGACAAAAATATCTTGGGCCTAAGGTATGACTTTGTCAGACATAACCCCTGGTATACTACAAATCAGTTTCCTCTTTCCAAGAAAACGTTGGGCATGAAGACAGCAAGCCAACAAACAGCCTGATGGGAAATGGGATGCTAGTAAATGGTCTGGCATCTGAAGAGCAAAATGCTGAGCAATGATGTCAGACTGTGTATTTGCATAGATCTTATTGTCTTTGTGACAACATTACAAAGGACCAAATCCAGCCCTCGTATTATCTACTCCCTTCAGTTATATCTGTGATGAATTTGTCCCATCATGGCTTCCATTTCATTTTCAACTGCTCCTAACCTCTCATTCTTTTGCCTGAACCCTCAGGCTATGGGAGAGTGTCTATATGAAACCTACTTATCTATTATGGGTAGAAGGAAAAAAACTACAATGCAGCTATCAACAGGAAGCCTTACAAGTCAATGTTAATTATTTACACAGTCCAGAAGAGTCATAGTATGCTCCCTGATTTAATTTGTGTCTGGCAAAGCTTCCTGAAATCTGTCTTCCAGTTACTGATTTCTTTGCACGGAGTCTGTGCTCTCCAAATTACACAGAGCTCCTTATTAGACCTTTGAAGCTGTGTAGCAAACTGTGCCTACCCAGGGGTCAGTCCTATGCTAAGTATTTTGGATTTTGTACAAGCATTAACTTGCCTCCACAGTATCATGCAAGAAATTGGAAACCAAATTATACATAGGATTAGAAAGCAGAGGAATTTTGAATTTCCGAGTGTCAAACAACATTTTCCTAATTAGGGGCTTGATTTGTCCTAGAACAATCCTTACTCCAGCAGTTATTCCTCTTGAAACAAATGGGGCATTTGATGGGAGCAGTCATTAAATGGACTTGTAAGGGTCACAGGATTTGGCCTAAATATACTAGTTAACCGTATTAGCACCATGTTGGCAACCATATTCAAACATGAGTCAGTGCTAGTATTTTTCCTGGCAATTATAGACAGGGCCTTTTTATGTGCTTGCTTACTCATTCCTCCCTATCACCCCTCGATTTGTACAGGAACACTAATGACTGTTCCCCTTCATCAGGGAGTGAAGGGGAAAATGCACAGTTCATACCATTCCTCACTCTGGCTGGGGAGTGCAGATGAACCTGGACCTGCTTCAACTGGGGCACATGCACCCAGGGCTGGATTAAGACCTTTAGAGGCCCTAAGCACTGAAAAGATTATGGTGCCCCCCCATATGTAATTCAAAATAAAAACAATACTATACCATAAAATCTCTCTTTTTTTGTGTGTGCCCCTGCTTTGCTGGTGCCCTAAGCACGTGCTTAGTCTGCCTATTGGGTAATCCAGCCCTGCATGCACCCATCCCCTGACTCTCCCTGCTGGAGCTGCGCTTCTCACCTGGCCTCAAGCTGTTGCGGTGAGAGAGAGCTGGAGTAATCCTCTCTCCCAGGGGCAGCCTGCACAGTGAACCCCTCATCCCCAACCACATCCCAAAGTAATGATTTAAATGAAGCATGCACATTTTTCATTTTATTTTCCAAAAAGCAAGAATTAATTGAGTTGAGGGACCGAGCAGCGCCCGATAAATCTTCTAGTTCAATAAAAGCTATCAAAACTCAAGGTGAATTAGATAAAAGGTTTTGAACTATCTCTAATAAAATGGGGAACCTGCAAAAAGGCATTTGCTTTCTAAAATCCACAGATTCAAAGGGCACAGTGCTGCAGTCCTTGTTCAGTGGTGCCAACAGAAGTGAATTTAAGTGCTAATATCTGAGTCAAGATTTCCTTAAGTATAGTCAGTAATTCCATCCATGAATATCTGTCTCAGGCCAGGGAGATAGTTCTCCCTGACTGACATGGCCTGCATCCAGCCACCTCAATAAAGAAGATCCTTAATGTTCTTTCTACAACTGAGTAATATCTCGTCTCTACTTTGAGAGGCTCTAGCGCCAGCTTTAACCTAATAATGAATTTTAATGAGATGTAAAGAAATTAAGGTTGACGTAATTTGTTATTTTAATAACATTTATGCACTGTCAATATAATTTAGTATTTATAAAGGCATAAAACAAGATGGAGCCAGACTCTTGTATTTATAGTCCTGCATGGGACAAGAAGATGCAGGATCTTTCTCCTTAGCCAAATTTTGCTTCAAGTAAAATAACTCATTTAATTTCAAACATAAATATTTACAGCCGTCCCCTGAGTTGCGAATGGTCGAGTTATGACCGTTTGCATTTACGACCAAAGCTCCCATGAAGCAGTCATAAAGGCAGTCCCCGAGTTACGAACGCGACCCGCGTTTACAAACAGCGTGGTCTTTATGTGTAACTCAATGGGGTCCAAGTTATGAACAGATCGAGTTATGGCCAAGTGTTTGGTCCGTAACTTGTTTGTAACTCGAGGAGAGGGTGTATTTCAGACCTATTCAGACAAAGTTAGAAACTATCTCTCTCATTTACTTTGTTAATGTGTAGGGTTGCCAAATGGTTTAACCAAAAATACCAAACACTCCCCATCCCTCCCAAAAAAAACCACGAGGGAAAAAATTCTGTTGAGAAAAAAAAAAGGGGGGGGAAACCAAAGCTTTTGAGAAAAAGAAAAAAAAAGGACCCTGAGAGTTATTAAGCAAAACAAACAAACAAACAAACAAAAAACCCAGCATGACCCTTTTAAGAAATGCTTTTGAAGTTTTTTGGCCCTAACAGGCTGCTGGCGACCATCTGCCAACTTGTCTCCCTGATCCGGGCCAGACAGCTCCCCTGCAGAACCAGGTAAGCACCTGGGATTTTTGCCGCCTGGCCGGAAAAAGATCAGAAAATTTTAGGTGTCCTGTATTTTCTGAATTTTTTTTTACCGGACAGGAGGTGAGAATACCCGACTGTTCGGGTCAATACCAGACACTTAGCAACCCTATTCATGTGTGAAAAATTCAGAAAATACCAATTGACACTACCATCCTGCCCCCATGAACAGCAGGTAGAAAAATTTTGGTTTTTTAATATATATTTGTAGCCAATGGGACCCTGATCCGTGACTGGGGTTGCTGATGCTATCCCAATACAAATATAACCAGTCCTGGCATTTTAAAAAGATTCTTTTTCAATAAATGTATTCTGAGAGGGCTCTGTCTGTTTTCTCCACAGACAGGCTAGAGTTTTTCTCCAAAGAGGCCCAGACAGAATAGGAAGCACTTACAAGAAAGCTGTCTACACGCAGTTCACTGATAATACCTTTAAAAAAACAGTTGAGAAGCCTTCCTGGTTGGGGTTCCTAGGCCCCATTATCAAGGCAGAGGTTGGAGATTCTATTATCATCCACTTGAAAAACTTCGCAACTAGAGCCTATACGCTTCATCCACATGGTGTGACATACACTAAAGAAAATGAAGGTAAGTTTCAGCTGATTCTCTCCCAGATTCAGAGGGGTAACTGTGTTAGTCTGCAACTGAAAACACTTAAAAAATAATAATAGTCTTGCAGCATCTCAGGGTATGTCTACACTACCCCCCTAGTTCGAACGAGGTGTACAGCTAGTTCGGATTAGGAAGCCTAATCCGAACTAGCTAGTCCGTGCCGCGTGTAGCCGCGCGGCATGGGGTCCGCACTAGCCGGCATTTAAAAATGGTGCCGGCCGGCTTTATGCAAATGAAGTCCGGGAAATTCAAATCCCGGGCTTCATTTGCAACTCCGAACTAGGGGGGTAGTGTAGACATACCCTTAGAGACTACCAAAAAATGTAGATGGCATCATGAGCTTTTGTGGACACAACCCACTTCTTCAGATGAATGGAGCTAAGGGATCCATTAAATCTCTCCCAGATTTCATCCACATTTCAAAACTCCCATTGACTACAGGGGGATGCCTGATAGCAATGAAAACTGCTTAAGTAAAGATTACAAAATTAGGATTTCAGAGGGAACTTAATCAAATGAAGATAGGATTCAGTTAGGGACATTTCTGAGATCACTTGGAAGATTTTCAAAGACCAAAATATGAAATGAATAGGAACCCATTAAGATCTGATTGATCAGCAGAAAGGGTAATGTTGACCAATATTTCAGCAAACAAGGCTATTACTAGCCCTATGTCGCCTCACTTAAGGTAATGTGAAGAAAATTGATCTTAACATGGGAAAAAAAGAGATCATTGCTTAATGATAATACCTCATGCATGGACACTATATGGAAACCCATTTAATTTCAAGTAAAAATACGATGTGATTTTTATTTGTTTGATATGTAAAAATATAATTGAAGATACTCCTATACTCTAAGAAATGTAGTCTCTGAAGTCAATGGTAATACTGAAGTCACTGAGGCTATGTCTACACTATCAGTTTTTGCCCAAAGAGGCAATGCAAATGAAGCACTGATTAGCATATTGTCATGCTTCATTTGCATAATCTATTCTTAGCTGTTTTTGTGCAAAAACAAGCAATGTGAACGTTTCCTTTTTGTGCAAAAAGGGTTCCCCCCCTTGCACAAAAACGGCTCAGAATAGATTATTCAAATAAAGCACAACAATATGCTAATCAGTGCTTCATTTGCATTGCCTCTTTGGGCAAAAACTGATAGTGTAGACATAGCTTCAGTGACTTCAAAGGAAGGAGACTTAGGCCTGTCAATGACAAATAGAAAAAGATGTACACACTTGCTCTTTCGAGAATTATTTATTTGGCAGGTTGGGCTATGTTACTGTCACAATTTGTCAACATCCAAACATTACAGATGCACTGTTAACACCTTCTTTTAGCTCATGCACAGTCTTCATTTTACAGAGTCTAAGATACCCAAGAGTCATGGACAGTAGCTTTACCTAAAGTACATACAGTGTTCCCTCTAATGTTTTCCATTCATGTGCAGAATTAATTTTATGATGTGCACCAAGACGTGTGCAGCTGTGCACCACTGGTAGAAACCAGAGTTGGAGCTCTGCTAACCATATAGGTGACATTTGAATCTCTCCTGGGTGGTTGCCCAAGTGCTTTGCTCACAGGGAACACTGCACGCAATCCTGTTTGTAACCTGCCTATCTCATTCCAAACCACGAAGGAGTTGTGTTACCATTGACTGCATTGCATGTCATTGCATTCTCTAGGTGCTTTTTATCCTGACAATACCAAAGGTTTGCAGAAGAAAGATGATGCTGTGATGCCCGGAGAACTGTATTCTTACAAATGGGATGTAACAGAAGATCATGGCCCAGCTGAGGGAGATAGCAATTGTGTGACCAGGGTTTATCACTCACATATAGATGCACCAAAGGATATTGCCTCTGGACTTGTTGGACCTTTGATTACTTGCAGGAAAGGTAAAAGAGATAAAATAACTAAATGGCAAGAAACAAAAGAAGGAAATGTGGGTTCTATTTTCATAAGAGATAGCTATTGTTATGTAATGTTGCTGTATGCTTTCAAACCAGGGGTGGGGAACTTAAGGCCTGGGGGCTAGATGTGGCCCCCAGTTTACCTGGATTTGGCCCCTGAGACTTAGGGCTCTCCTCCCCCCCCAGCATTGGGGAGCCCATGCTGGCGCTCCAGCCACCCTCCCGGACTGCCTCTCCGGGGCTGGAACACACCAAATCTACTAGCCTGCTTCCCTCCCAGGCTCTGGTGTGCAAGGGAAATGTAGAGTGTCTTTCTCTCTCTCTTTTGTTGTTGTTGTTTCTTAATTACGTCCAGCCCCTGACTGATTTTTCTGTGGGTCAGTGGCTCCAAACCCAAAAAGGTTCCCACCCCTTTAATCATATATTTCATGTAAGTGATGTATGTCAACCCCAGGCAGCTGCCTTTGAGTAGTAATGTCTGGGTAGTGTGAAATTGTGCACATTTAATATGCACATTGAATTGTGCACGTTGATATAGCATGTGAAGTGCTTTGGAATAAATTGAAATTAAATGCATAATATAAATATAAGCTATCGTAGAAAGTGACGGTTTACACATATAAAATGTAACATGAAACCTAGTCATTATGTATGCTACACGTACATAGTAACACATGTTAGTTACACATATGTTATTATAATTTTTTTTTAAAGCAAAATCTGGTGAATGGTCTTTTTTGTTATATTTGGCCTTAATGAGCAATAACTTTTGTTATCAAAACACTTTTTGTAGTTTCACTCTACATTATCTTCCTCTTAGAAAAATCTAATAACTGACATTATTCCAAAATAACAAAGAGCGTGTCTACACTGCAAGCCATTATTTAGAAATAATGTCAAGCTGGAGGACTTCTTACTCCGATTCCTTTAACCCTCATTGTATGAGAAGTAAGGGAAGTTGAAGGAAGAGTGTTCTTCCTTCAACTTCCTGCTGTGTAGACAGCACCAAAAGCTGAATTAAGCTATTTTGACTTAAGCTATGCAATTGACGTAGCTAAAGTTGAATAGCTTAATTCAGCTTTTGCCCTGCTGTGTAAACATGCCCTAGGAGACAGACATACTAATTCATATTTTAAGGCAACTAATAAATATCTACTTTACCATTATTATAGCTAAGAATCGAAGAAAGATGCATTTCACTAGCCAGTCTATCAAACTGACTATTTTTCAGGTACACTGGATGAGGGAAGAGAGAAACACATGGATGCTGAATTTATCCTTATGTTCTCTGTGATGGATGAAAATCTTAGCTGGTATCTGGATGACAACATCAAGAAATATTGCTCAGAACCTGCCAAAGTTGACAAGGAGAATGAGGACTTCCAGGAGAGCAATAAAATGCATTGTAAGAGATTTTTTTTAAGGAACTGTTCATTGTTGTTGTATCCCATTAACATTCCTAGAAAGGTGAATTATAGCTAGTTTGTTAATGAAGTGCTTTATTCTTTTTAGGTAGTTTTTACACAAGTGTTTTAAATGAATTAGGGCCTGCTTCTGCTCCTATTTATGTCAATGGGAGTTTTGCCACTGACATTAGTGTGATCAGGACAGAGGCAGATTAAGATATAACAGAGCCCTGTTCACCAAGAATATTTGGGGCTCCCCCTCACTCCCTGCTCCTCCCCTTCCCTCAAGGCCCCACCCTCTGGCCTGACCAGAAGCCAGGCAACAGTGAAAGCTGCCCAAGTAGGCTAGGCTATTGTGGGAGCCCTGGACCCTCCACCTGCCATGGGCAGTGTGCCTGGAGGGTAGGAACAAGGGATGGGGGCAGCTCTCAGGTGCTTTGGTCTCCTGTCCAAGACAGGTGCAGGATCCAGGGTGCCCCACAACAGCCTGAGCTCTCTCGGTAGCTCTTGCCACAGCACAGAGCAGTGGTCACCAAACTGTGGGGCACACCCCCATGAGGGAATAGAGGAACATTTGGGGGGACATGACCAGACACGGCTCTACCCCAAGCTCTGCTGTGACCCCACCCCAGGGCTGCCCTCAGCTCCAGCTGTGGCTCTGCTCCTGATCCCATTCCTACCCTGGCTCTGGGATGACCAGAGATCCCATTTTGGCCCCAAATGTCCCAACTCTTTTGGCAAAACTGGGCATTTGTCCCATTTGCTCTGGCCAGCTGATTACCAGTGGGGAGCTCCACACCAGGGAGGGGAGGGGAAAAGGGGCTGAGAGCTGGAGAGGGGAAGGAAGAAGGGTTTGGATGAGCTCCCTGCTGTGTATGGAAGGGCAGGGGGAAGCAGAGAGCAGGGCCTTCCTCATGTGAGAGCTGTGTTGCATGTGGGGAGAGGGCCCTCAGTCAACTGCCATGTTGGGTGGGGTCTTTGTCCAGCACAAGGGGGCAGGAAGAGACTTGGGCTCAGCATGGGGCCTGGGTGAGCAGCTAGTTCTGCCTTGGAGTAAGGGAATTGCTCACCAACCCCAAGCCCACGCTTTTTTGGTGGGGCTGGAGGCAGGGCAAAGAGGGCATCTGCCCCAGTACCCAGTGATTCAAAAGAGCCCAGGGTTTCTTTGACACTGCTACTGTATCAGCAGCAGCAGCTGGGAGCCCCTAGCCCTTTAAATCACCACCAGAGCACAATGTGGCGGTGGGGGCAGCTCTCAGGTCTGGGGCGGCACAACGCAGCCCACTCCTGGCAGTGCTGAGGAATAGCTGCCCCCGGTCCTGCCTCTCCTGCCCAAAGCCCCACCCCTTCTGGGAACGCAGAGCTGCCCCCCATCTTGCAAATGGGACTGGTAAGTCTATTGGCTCCCCTGCCTGAGGAAAAAAAAGAGGAGTGGGGAGGAGGAGAGAGGAGCAGCTGGGGCTGTGGCTAGAGGTCCAGCTCCTGCTGTGGGCCCCCCAGTTGGTTGGTGGCTCTAGATATGGGCCCCTTTGGCCCATACTGTAATCCACCGCTGAACCAGGGTTGGAGCAGTATCTATTAATACTAGAAACAAAAAGTGAAAGTTATCTGGCAGTGCCAGAGGTATGGGAAAACCAAAACCGTGTAATTGTGACAAAGGGTCCATACAAGGGATCTAAGTCATGTACAAGGCTGCCCCAATTGCTGTCATCACTTCCTAGGCCACTGCAGGCAGAAATTTGTTTTCGCCAAAACACACTGTGCTGCTGACTGTCACCACAGAAGCGAGCCTTAAATCTGGCTTGGTCTAAACATTCATGGAAAGCTCTGCTGAGCATGCTACAAACCCTAGTCAGATAGATCACAGATGGGTTTAGGTTTTGGAACACCATGGCTAATGGGAGAGACACTTAGATACTGAGTTTTTGGTTAGCGCTTATCTCTGTCTTACAGTTTAGTGGCAGTGATTTTAGTGTTGGCAGGATAACAAGTTTTTGCACAAAGGCTGTGAGCTCTGTGATGGCGAGTATATAATAAACAGCATTTCTTACTTTTTAAGCAATCAATGGATATATGTATGGATATCTTCCCAATCTCACCATGTGTGCAGAAGACAGAGTGAAATGGCATCTTTTCGGCATGGGCAATGAAGCTGATGTCCACTCAGCTTATTTCCATGGACAGGTTTTTACAGAAAGGAATCACCGCATTGACACCATCAGCCTCTTCCCAGCTACGTTTGTTGATGCTCTTATGGTACCGAAGAATCCTGGTGAATGGCTGCTTAGCTGCCAAGTCAACGATCACATAGAAGGTGCAAAAGAAGTGACTGTCTATCATATCTGATAACTTACAGATGAATATGGCATACCTGAATGTTGTCTTTGGCATGCCATAATCATGATACAAAGCACCCAGAAGAGCCACAATAAACATTATATGAATGACAAGACATCCCCAAATTGGAATGATCTGGCCATTTGAATTAATTCTGCTTAAGCTTATCCTTTATAGTCACTTTTGCATGAATTAGTAAGACTATGGTCTGATATAAATCACCTAGATAAAGCCCTCACATTCTCAGCAGCTCATCTAGGAAGGCATTACTCTAGGGTAGGGAACCTCAGGCTTGCTTGGATCTGGCCCTTTAGGCTCAGCCCCCTGCCCTGCACTGGGAAGCTAGCAGTCCAGCCCTCTTGCTAGCCCCCATGGAGCTGGAACACACTAAATCTACTAGGCTGGGCCCCTCTAGGCTCTGGTGTGCTAGGAGAATGTGGGGCTCACGTCAGTGAGAAGGTTTTTTTTTAAATTGCTTCTCACTTGTGTGCAGCCACCCGTGGTTGATTTTTCTGTGGGTCAGTGGCCCCCAACCCAAAAAAGGTTTCCCACCCTTGCACCAAGGGCTGAACCAAAGTCCACTGAAATCAATAGACATTCTATTAGTAGTTGGATTCAATAACATGTGTGTAAGAACTGGTGCAAATTCCAAACGTAGATGAGCAAAGCAATGGTTTATGCTGGATAAGTTTACCGCTGCTTGCAAATGTGCCAGAGCTCAGTCATTGTGAATCATAGCTTCTTTTATCTGCATTGGTTGCTGGCCATCAGATGCTGAATTGGGGATCATTCCAAGTTCAGGCAAGACCATAGTTATTATTTATTTGCAGAGTGGATGAAAGCCAATAAATTCACATTTAAACCTAGATGTTCCTTGAAAAGTTCCTTAGTTCATCAGACAGGGGTTTGTATTTCCCTTTTCTATATATATGCCTATAGCCATTATTTGTTAACAATATTGTGACACGTTATTTATTTCAGCCCACAACTTTGCATGGCTTTCTCTTCTTCTCTGACAAGAAATTTCCAAATTAAATCACTGATCAAAAATCCCTTATTAGAATCTGAGTTAGTCATGTCCCAGTAATTGTTTAGCCTGATACTTGGCATCTCTGGCATCACAAAGGAACAGTCAGCACTACAGAGTCAATTATGCTAAAGAATCAAGTTTTGGACTAGCACACATAGGAGCCTAAAGGTAGGGTTCTTTATCCTTATGCACCTAAATAAGTGATCTGATTTTTTAAAAGGGCTCAACATCCAACTGGTCAATAGGAGCAGTTTGGGGACTCAGTACTTTTTGCAGTAAAACTGTAATTTTAAGAATCAGTGGCTAGTAAAAAAAGAAAATGGCTCCTATGAATGTCAGTGGGTTTTGGGTCAGGCCTTTATGTACACACAATGCAAAATATGGAAACGTATCAGGTGATACATTTATAGCAAATCACAGTGACCATTGGGCAGTTACAGGCAGTCCCCGGGTTACGTACAAGATAGGGACTGTAGGTTTGTTCTTAAGTTGAATCTGTATGTAAGTTGGAACTGGTGTCAGCCGCTGCTGAAACTGATCAGTTTCAACCGCGGCTGAATCTGGATGCCAGTTCCGACTTACTTACAGATTCAACTTAAGAAACCCAGGCGTCCCCAAGTCAGCTGCTGCTGAAACTGATCAGCGGCTGATTCCAGGAAGCCTGGGGCAGAGCAACTCTGCCTCGGGCTTCCTGTAGTCAGCTG